GATTCCCTGCTTTCTGCAAGCTCCCTGAGGAACACATTTGAGATGATTTAATTTCTTAACAAAGCAAAGAGGTGGCACATATACATCAAACCGATGATAAGTACTTACTGCAAGTATGAAAGTCGGGATTGATGGGCTTGATACAGATGCGTGTGGCATATGACAAAATCCCAGTGACATCGCTAAGATCAGATTCTCACACTGTCTTCAGCCCCGACACTGCCTTAAAGTATTTTTAGTAGTTTTAGATTTGCTAGTTGTTTTTTTGCTTTTGTAGTTTTTTTGTAGATTTGCTAGATTTTGCTAGTTGTAGATTTATTTATATATTTATTTTATTTATTTATTTATTTATTTATTTATTTATTTATTTATTTACACATGTGTATATAAATAAAGTTTTCTTTGTAATTATATATATGTATATACATATAATTACAAAGAAACTACAATAGAAGGGGAGAATAAAAAAAAGGGATGGCGAGGCTCTGGAAAGTAGAAGCTCCCCAGAACATCTTGTTGCTGACCACTTTTACAAATTTTCAGGGCAGAGGCTATGATGGAAAGGGGAAATCTTATCACTGTTCACTCAATAATCGTATTGATGGAAATGAATGTTGGTTGTAAGGGAGGAGAGCTGTGAACGCTTTTAATGTTTGCATAAGGGCGTCTTGCGTTGCTTAGTTATATATGTAGTCATTCCCCTGGCTATCTTTGACCAAAAACTCCTCCGCTACTTTTATTCCTTTATTATTTGTTATTAGGAAATAAACGATTATTCAGGCAACTTTTGACGGAATAACGCACATGCACATCGAACGGGGGGCGCTGAGTACTGCTGTGCGGATATTCAGCTTAGGATCAAAGGCTTGGCATAGTTGCTGCGTTCGACGTATGGGAGCATCCCAGTAACATCAGTAACATGGAATGCCCAGTGCGATTGTCTGAGCGATCTTAGTACTTTTGATGGTTGCTACTAGTACAATAATTTTCCTGTGTTGGTGGGATATTGTAATAGAAATTTACTTATAAAATAAAAAAGAAATGTGCAGAATTTACGCTTACTTTTTTGAAAACACTGATTTTTCTTTTTTCTTTTTTTTTTCTTTTTTGAAAAATTTGATTAATCTCCAAGCAGTTCAACAGCCCTGGAGATCGTAGACATCTTTCTTTATCGTGTAAAAAAAAAAAGAAATGCGGAAAGGAATAAGCTTTTTAGGTCAGAATTATCCGGGGAGGGATGGGGACGGGGGAGGGGGAACATGTGGGTGGGAAGGAGGGGGAGGAGTTCAAAATATAGCCAAAGTTTTTCCGAAGTTAAATGAAAAATGATAGTTTTTTGAAGAGTGCTAATTTTGATGAGAAAACTTATGTTTTACTTTTAAAAAAAAAGATATGTTTTTCCTGGAGAAGCGGCTACCAAGGAAACTGGTTGCGGTACCAATGGTATTTCATCTTTTTCTTATATCCCTCATTTTTTTGCAGGCACGAGAAGCCGAATTGGCTGGAAAGTTAACCGGCCGGCAACAGTTCCTGCGTGATGCGACGCTCAGTTTATCCGATGTGGCACTGATGCAAGCAGCAAATACAGAAGTCGAATTTGATGAAACGCTTTTTGATGAGGTTTCTGAGCGTATCTGTGCATTTTTAGTGAGGTTTTATAAGTGAAAAATGAGGTTTACAGGTGTCTCTGTACGTCTCGGATTTTCAGCTCGGTTTTTTTTTGTGTTTATTATTTTAGGGATATTTTATTTTTTTTTTAATGTTATCATTCTTTGTAGGCCTAAAACACAACAAAAGGGGGAGAAGAAGGCCGGGGGGGGGGGGG